AGAGCGTTCCTTACACGTTGCCGCGCATTATTCAATAACGCAACGTCGATCAAACGAGACGTCTGCTTGCCGGAATCCCACGTTATTCGTCTGACATTCACTAATTACGATTTCCCTTTTCCGGCGTGGCTTAACGAGGCAGCGAAAGAGCCGCATCAGGAACCAGGATACGACTGATGACACTCGACCATTACGCACGCGTGTACGCGTATCCGCACGGTGTGAACAGTCCCGGGGCGAGCAGGCTGGCGCACTTTTATGCAAAAACCGTCCGTCCATCCTTTTCCAGCCACGGTGCTTTATTATCGTTCAACCACGCGTCTACGACCTCCCTTGACATTCCAACACGGACGTTTAAAGCACGTCGATGCGCTTCGAGCGGCGGATACTTAGCCGTCCGGGAGAAAAATGGGCCCGGTGTTATTAGCGAGGTGTTGGATAGCTGGTACCGCTATTTGAATAATGCATACGCTACGCCCTTCAGGCTGGAGCAGGTTTCATTCGATCCAATAAGCGGCGCGACGCGCGCCCCGTGCTTTTTCTTCCCTCCCCGCTCGCCCCTCGCCACCAGCGCGCGTCCACGCACGGCACGCGTAATTGCCTGAAAATTTGTGAGAAAAGGATAACTTACAGCTCTCGTTAAACGAGAAACTCTCCGTCTGCCGTGCTGGCTGAATTTCATAGGAACAGGAATACTCGAGGGTAGGCTGTTAGACGACGCGTATATATACTTAATTCCGAAAGGGGATACGGTGAAACGTTTAAGTCAAATCGTTCGAATTATGCATCTCCGCTTTCCGGTTTGCTGGATGATCTTTTCATCGGAATCGTTTAGAACTCCACTTCGTTTTCACATTTCCATCCGCATCCTTCCCTGCTGATTTCCTTCGTGATGCACCATTGTGGGCCGGAAATGGCGTCGAATTGGATGCTCGTTCGCGTGAAATCTGCAAGAATCCAGAGGGTATTCGTACTCTGTGTAACAGACCTGCAGAGTATGGCGTTCGTAGAGCATGTCCTGAATAAATTATCGAGCTCGACGATACTCGTAAAAGCATTACCAGTTTCATACCTGGCGCGTGTTTTCATTGTCATTGGCGACATCGGACGAGGTGCCAGCCCAAATCGTGTAGTCGGCGAGCGTTTCGTATTCGATCGGGCCGACCGATCCTGGACAATGTCATCGTTATCATCGTTACCCCTCGGTCGAATGCAAGGCCAAGTCATCGACGGCTAGATCGTCCGCGTCATCACTGTGAGCTATATTCTACCGTTTCACGGTCCAGTCGTTTTATGCTTCAAGATCATTAGATTCGATTGCACGACAACGGCAGAGGAAAAACGGCGGGGACCATAAAGTGGAGGGTTAAGGGCGACGACGAGAATGGGGGAAAAAAGGAGTGGCGCAAAAAGCGGACGGTGGCGGGTCATAAGTGTGGAAAATACAAAAGTCGAATGTGAATGACGGTGGAAAAAGGAAGGCAAACGTTTGCGTCGTGTGTAAGAATTATATCACGAACGTAATGACATGTTTATTACGCTGCGTGCCAGCTGTGTACATGAACAGGGTGCTCGGTGCGATTTTACCCTGTTTTAGATACGCCATGTAAATGCACTCTCGTGAAACGTAGTTGTATTTTATAATCAGACGTATTCCTTGACTTGCTGTTTCACGATATCTGGAACACCACGAGGACAGGTCTCAGGTGTGGCTTAAACTCGGGATTAAGTGTAAAGTTAAATTATACTTACAAAATCGACGTATGATCGAGGTTATAAAATATAAGATGATCGTAGAAGCTCAAAAATATTCGAAATATTATACCAGGTCTGCAAAGGTGACGCATCCAATACCCGCATCACCTGCAAAGAAAAGAAACCAATTAACTCAATGGACATCGTTTTATCTCTTATTAACATAATTGATTAAACAAGTTGGGTCCCTTCCCCCAGAATATTTAAATAAAACCATACTCGTAAAATCGATATACGTTCGAGGATAATGCATGATCGACATCACGACAGATTCGATTAACTCCAGGAACTTTTCTAGATCCAACAAAAGATCGGGCAGAACAAAGCGAGAGGAACAAAACCTTGGAATACAAAAAGGAAGGAAAGAGAGCTCATGGGAAAAAAGTGCTTCAGCGGTGCATCGTCGTTATCGTCCTCCAGTTTACATGGACCATTGATTGGCTATCACTCCCAGCAGAGGGTCGCGCGTCCTCCACCTCCGGGGTATCCAGTTTACTCGTAAAAAATTGACTTACGCTGATTGGCCGGCGAATCGGTTGATTATCGCCGTCGGTATTTCTCGCGTTATTGTTCCGTACCTCTGGCTGGTCGAGAGGTACCCAACGTCGAGGGACGTCAGCAACGGCAACAACGGCACAGCTGTTGCTGCTTGCCTTCGCCGAAGCTACTGTCGGGTAATTAGCGACGTATTAATATACCCGATATAAACGAGCGACGTGCAGGCTTGTATTTCAAGCAGACCACCCAACAAGGCTACGTTCGTACGCGTTAATTAACGATTTTCTACCAGCACGAATCAACGCAAGCATGCTTCTATTATTCAGCTAGGCGCCATGTTGCTATTCTTCGAGAGAAAAGGGTTCTATTGGACGATTAGTATCGTATCACCCTATTGAACCATCAGCATTGTATCACTTGATAATTAATTCCTTATTTATTACCTCTTGGATAGACTGTCTTCGATGTAACGTTACTCCCATCGTCATACAATTGACTGGAACCCTCTTGTGCACGGGGTAAATAATACGAGGAGAGCTGGAGGTCTTATGAGAATCTTGTGTTATCCTGTTTAATGCCCTTTGATGGTTTTAGATGCGATATTCAATTTCGTGAGATTCCTCGACTGGCAATCCCTGCTACTATGAAGATTTATGGATATCTATGGAGAGATTTATGGACATCTATGGATCGCTGGTAATTCAATATTCACGCTTTGATGATATTAAAAGTCGAAAGGTAAGAATTGCACGAGTGAAAGATCGTAAAGTTGATTAAGAATTTTTCGCGAAGCGTCGTTTGTGATCCGACTCGTAATGAGAGTTCGAGAAAAAAGTGAGGTTAACTCTATCATTGATTCCACGACGTTCGGCAATCTCCTAAGGATATTAGCATCCCGTAATCGTAATATCCTAGGATTTAATCCAGTCGTTATATCTCGGATAATCTATTTTACGACACTTAATTGTGATAAAGCTAGATTTTAATGGGATTCGTAAAAAATGAAAATTATAATCTCGTAACGAAGCAGTCCCTTTATAGACCAATCAAACGGTGCTTCAAAAGGCCGCGGATAATTCAAACAAAACCGAAAAGGTGATAGTGAGGAACGTTTTAATCCGCGATAATGTCGAGGCGAGGAGAGGGAAGCGTATCTATCTCGAAGCTCGAAGAATGATCCACGATCGGGCCAGTCGTGAAGGTGCTTTCGAATACCGTAGCCAGCGTCGTTTGTTACACGGTGGATGGGTATCAATTACGCGAATACCGGCGATTGATTGTGCATTGGCACCGTTCGAACGTGACGGAGGTGCACAAAGCGCCGGAGGGACGGTGTTATGCTCGAGGGCATCGATCGACGATGATTCAGGAACGTTCCCATGCTGTCTAAATAGAATCTCGGTGCACCGACGCCAAGGCGTCGGCTGCCAGTTGGATTCAGAGAGACGTTCGATGATGAAATCCAGCTTTGGTGTATTAATCTCTGCTCAGACTGAGTGTTGGATCCGCAAGATGAACTGTTACTTTTGATATCTCTTTCGTTGCAGCTGATGGAATCGTTTCCTCGTTTTTCTGCCACGTTCCTCTATCTTTCCTTCCTTCCTTCTCCAGGTACTCCATGCGAATCTGTGAACGTATATTTCATTTTATCAAGCGAAGAATCGATAGCAAAGGGAAGTACTTACAATTATTTCTTTTTCCTATTCTTATTCAATCTGTATCTGACATAGACACTTACACAGTCTTGTCACTCGAGGATTTACGTATCCATAAAGGTTCACAGATAAATTGTAATATATTCGAGTATAGGAATAATCTCGTATATCGTATTCCTCAAAATACTTCAGAAGATCCACTGTTATTTGGCGTAAAATGCTTATGATAAATTGCACTTGTCATTTCAGGAGTTAATATTCGCTTGGATAGT